GGGGGTGAGATGGCAAAACCCAACAAAAATTGCTGAATCTCCAATTGGTTAAAACTTATCAGTGTGCTTCTGTCGACAGAAGTACTGGCAGCAATTCATTCACTAGACGGAAGAAACATCAGAATCGCCAGAAGGCTCATTGGGCGAAGAAGCGATGACCAAAATAATCATGAGATGGGGAAGAAAATGACATGGTTGATGAAAGTCAATGAATCAATGGCGAACTAACAGCTGTTTTAAGGAACTTTAAATAATTCAAAACAAGTGTCAAAATTTAGTCAAAAGGCAAAGTTTAACAGAAAAAGGGCTAAACCCAGCTAAACAAACGTCCAGTACAACCATAGTGAAAAATACTTTTTTAATTCCGCCATTAAGAAAACAGAAATATTTCGTTATTACTGGCCACTAATTTAATCTCGGAATGGGCCAATTCTTCTACTAATTTTTCATTAGCTTCAATAATAAAATGATATTGATGCATGCCGGGACGTCAAAAAAATCATCAGCCTGCTAACCTATGAAACAGGAAGCCACGACAGCCTTGTCAGCTAGTATCTGCTGGTGGTACAGGCTATTACCTACACTACTTCTGAGGGTCCTTGCCTTTCCCAGGATATAAAATATATTATCATTTTATATTTGACGGCCAATTTATATTAAAGACACGAAACCGGGAAAGATTACATACCAAATTCCCATCATCTCCAGAAAGGAAAGCAAAAAAAAAAAACGTTCTCGATCATCAGTGACCGAGCAAAAGCGCATAATTTTTATATGTGGTATACTAAAACCGTTTTGGCAATTGAGGTGGAGGTCCTATATAATAATGTTATTGAGGTGCTCTCACAAGCCAAGCATAACTACAAGAGCTCTTCGATTCTGAACTGCAAAACTCCAGTTAATGTATACCATATCCTGCAACATATCCAAGCTAAATCTAATTTTTATGCGGTTTTACTATGTAACGCTATAGCGCTGCTACACTGAGCTAGCGCATATTACTGTGAGGTAGTCTGTATGTGTGTGTTCGGGAGCGAGCGACCTTTGTCACTCACTTTCAACTCAGCAACTAGGAAAGCTGGGAGGCTAAAATCTTGGAGGCACATTCTCACTACAGGCCTCACCCTCCCGTTTAAAAACTTCGCTCATACGCACCTAGATTTCGCATACGGACCTCTGAAAAAACACACATATTTCTTTGGCGAGAAACGATTTCGTGAACCAGACAAGTTAGAAAATTAAAACTTTGTAGGGTATCCTGTTTGCATGTATGAGCTGAAAATTTCGAACTCAACTACCGCGTACGTCTTATTACACCACAATCAGCAGTTGGCACTGTGCTAAATCGAAAGCTAGCCAGCAAACGGCAGCTGAAATTTTGACAGAATATTTACTGTTCATGCAAAAAATCGTATAACTAAACTGAGCTTCGATTTGCATTTACCCACGACTTAGGGCACTTCAGAAATATTTGCAGCGAAGCGGCTACTTCGCTTGCCAGAGAAGCCTTAAAGATGAAACTTTGCAAGAATATTCTATATTTATGCATGATCTTAATTCAGCTTGGGGGTGAAATTCCTTGCACGTAGACATGACAAGTGCTCAATTTTGTCGCAAACTCAAAAGCGAGTGCATTTTGCGGATTGTATAATTCTCTGCCGACTTCGTTCAAATTTTCTTCTTTTTTTCAGTGAACGACCGCTTGCCGGGAAGACGGCCGGTTTCATGCAAAAAACTAATAATAATGTATGCTGGAGGTCCACGTGGCCCCATAATGCAACGTCCTCATCCCAGCCAACGCCCTTTCCCCTGCATGCGCATAGAGGCCAAAACACAGTCAATATAAGAATAAACGTTAAAATACAATGCATGATCCACTTCTGCTGCTAATAATCTGTAAGTTTAGCGCGAAAACGCATGATCGCACCGGCAAGTCTGGTGCTTTGTAGCCTGAGTTATATGCTAGGAGACCGAAGCCAAACGGGCCGAAACTTCATCACAAAGGTTTCTTTTTCTACGTTATTTGTCTTGCACAGCAGACAAAAAATATACAGAATTCTTCAGTTAAAACCCCGCTTTTATTCGTTGCATTGCAAGGGGATCAATCGCACCTGTGTTTCAGCAATTTCTTTCCTTGTCAGCGTTGTATCGCCAGTCAATTCACGCACTTTCAAGCCTAATGGTGCCAGTCGCCTTGCAAAGTTCGCTGTCATCTCCGTTGCTAAAGCTTTCATCGGTGCAATGTAAATTATCTGCAATGCATTCCTTTAAGACCCTAAAAAACTAAAATGAAAGGATCACCCTTTTCAGTTACATTTAAAAGCATGCCTAATGAACACACTTTCCACTTATCCAGGTCTAATACACCCTCTCCGACTTATTTTGATCAGTGGATGAATAGTGATAGCTCAGTGCTGAAGACTGAGAGACTGATTTTGTCGGAGGAACAGCTAAAACCTCCGCGGCTCGTTTGTTTTGAAGTGAATTGTTGCTGGCGCATGGCATAAAATTGAATCGGTCTTCAGTCTCCTTGTAAGCAGTCATTGATAGTTCTGCCATCGAGTGGTTGTTGTTATCACGCGACCCACCCGGGCTATATCCGCGTGCCTCCGCCTCTCAGAAAGAGTGGCCACATTTTTAAATGAACGGCAAAATTACCTTAAATTCATCCTTATAGATCACGCCTTGGTCCATGAAACCATGCACTGTGTTCAGAACTGTCAGTAACGCAATATTCGTTTTGCCTGTTTTTTTAATCCAAATTAAATTTATCAAAAAAAAAAAAAAAATTAGATTTATAAAATCGAATTCAAAAAAAAAAAAACACCACAACAAAAACCAGATGAAATAACCAAGCAATTCCCACGTTTGCTCTACAATACAATTTTAAACCCTGTACTCCCTACATTTCCGGGGTAATCTCATCCTTATAGTTATTTTCAGTGGTTTCTGAGCGAAAACAATTGGTGGGCAATACGGAT